CCTCCATCTATAACAATAGGCTCGCCCAGGTTTTCATAATTTTCTAGCCCATGAACAATGTTTTCATGGGATACATTAGAACCCATAATCCTCATAGAACAATCCCTGACGTCTGTAAGCTACTTGAACATAGTTGCAGACCAGGTTTTCCTGCGTGGGATGGTGCTTACCAACAGGATAATGCACCATGTCATAAGGGTAGTGACTTTCAAGTCATGCCTTGGCCCCCAAATTCACCTGACCTTAATCCAATAGACCATTTGTTGTCCTACTTGGAAAACCAAATTCGTGCTGCCACGCTACCCCCTCGCAATGTGAGGGAATTGCAGGACCAGTTGGTGAGCGCTTGGTACCAGATACCTCAGACTACCTATCAGCACCTTGTGGGATCAATGCCACGGCGGGTGCTGGCAGTTTTGAGGGATAAAGGTGGTCCTACATGTTATTAGCAGGGTAGTCATAATGTAATGGCTCTTCGGTGTAAATTGCGATACTGTAATATGCGCCTTCGCCAGTCCTTGATCTTCCTTAAAAAATTATACTCAGATCGTCCCTAATAGTTAGTTAGTGTTGCTCTAGGTGATTCTGACAATGAAACGAAACCGAAAAATCACAATCGACAAAAAGTGCTTTGAGAATACTCAATTAAAAAAATATTTGTACTAAACTAGTATTAAAACCATGCATACTTTTTCACATAATAACTTACATTAGATAAAAATTTGAACATATAATTTGTTTTGCAATTGTTTTAAAAAAATACGAAGATTTGGACGAATTTTTTTTTTGAAAAAACATTTTTTTTCTAAATTCAGTAAGTGTTCGTAAAATATGAATAGAAAAAAATATTCAAAATTGTCTGATAACTATTTTCATTTCAAAATTTACCATCTTGCTGCGACGTTCTTTTTTAATTAAAGAGTCTTGAAAGTAAGATTTAATTAGGCAAAGGTAATATATGCTACTTCGAAAAAATTGACTAAAATCACTGCAGCTAATATCCATTCGTACATAAACAAACAGTGCCTCGATAAAATAAATAAAAAAAATCTGGGAAGTTGCCGAAACAAGCTGTACTATTCTGTGAAGTAATCAATTTTAAGTAATTTTGCATTAAAATGCCTTTTTTGAAAAAAAAAATGTTTTATTTGAAAAAGTCAATATACATTGTTCCGAAAAAATTGAAATGTCTTTCAATATTCCTCTTCATCACTTGCCCTTGGTAGAAATAAAAATAAATGCTTTCAAATGTTCGATTATTTGACAGTCTTTCTTTTTCTAATGCAAATAAGTCTTTTTTGGACGGAATGTTTTCCATAAAAATGTTTTTTCGGTAAAGAATATTGCTTTTTTTTCAGATTTCAACTGTTTGAAAATTCCGGTAATTTCTCAGTTATTTAGCATTGAAATTAAAAAAAAATTTTCAGTTGGAAGAGAGAATTCCTTTCTTCAATAGAAGCATTATTGTTAAAGTTTGACAACTGTCATTTTCATTTTTATCGGAATTAATTTCACAATATTTTTCAGCTGAATATTTTTTATAAATTAAGTTATTAATATAAATTAAATTATTGATATATATTAATTTATTTATATAAGTTCTAGTATCTGTCTTGAATAATTAATTTATTGTTCCGTTAAACAACTTTTTTTGAAGCTGAATATGAGAAATTTAACAAAAATATTTCATGTATTAAATATTTTGTGATGTTGCGTTAATTTTTTTTATGCGTGTTCTTTTATTTTAAATTTTAGCTTACAGGAATGATTGTTTTCAGTTTTTAATTTTTATGCATAAAACTAATCAAAAGAATACACAAATTTGAAAATACAAGTTGAAGTTTTTAAAATTATTCCCCATTGTCATGTAGATTAAGCATACATTCATACAACAAACGCTAAGTTATAGAAAACATATCTTTGATGACTGCTTTAGAATTTATTAAAATAAGCATAAAGCTTTTCAAAAACGCAGTATATATTTTTGTTCTTTATTCTTTTATAAATTTGGCAAAAAGAGAGTCATTAAATTTCAGTTTTTTTAGACCATTATTTAAAATGTATATTAAAACAAAACTAAATCTTTATTTAAAAAAATCTTCTATCTAACCTAAATCTTTATTATTAAAATCTAAATCTTTATTATTGAAACTAAATCTATATTTAAATTCGTAAGCGACGCTGCTGCCGCTGTCTTAGGAGTTTCAACTGTAAGTTACATTTTATTTTTCTGCGCAAAAAACTGTAAAATTTAGAAGTTTGAAATGACAATAGTGTGTAGACAAATATACAGAGAGAACGATAAAAAACATTCGATTATTAGTTTGCGAATAATGTTAACTGTTAAATTTTTGGTAAAAAGTAGCCTGAGAGCCACTCTGTAGCCAGCAAATGTGCAACTGCAATGTTAAAGCTTAACATGTTGAAGTGTTTTTCTTATTATTTGAAATAACATTGAAATAACATTTGGAATTCAAATTTATTTAAAAGTTATTGCTCTATCTAATGTCTTTTTAGCAAATCTTTGCTCCTTTTTATTGTTTAATTAATGACTGTTTATACATTTTTGTAGAAAAGTTTATCTATCGCTTTCGAGATCTTTATTTTATAATCTCGTGCTTGAGTTCATGTCAAAAGTAACCAAAAAAGTCAGTGTTTAAATATCGCTAAATAAATCTTAAAATTTATATTGAATTTTTGGAAACATAAAACTTTAAGACAAATAAAAATTGTTTCTACGTTAATATTTATTTAGCAAAATATTCTAGATTTTTGGGGATAATATCGACTAGTAAAGAAAAAAACATTGATCATGAAAATGAATAAGAAAAAAATCATGGGGCTTGGTATGTGAAGCCCCTTCCCAGTTACGTAAGCATTTGTGGTGAATTGCTCGTATAATAGGTGGTCTACAGCTTTTCAAAATAAGAAAATATGAACTAAAATAGTAATTCTTATTTAATATTTTATATGAATTGCTCATATCTTTTGAGCAATAGAGCTTGACAAACACCCCAAACACCCCAATTCGCTTGCCCAAATTAATTAGCATAATACATAAAAATCCGATAAGTAAAATTAACATGAAGATGATAGAACTTTAAATTTCTCTCTTTCTCTTAATTGATAATGTGGCCAATTTTTCTATGCTTCTTATACGTTCATTATCATCGTTTAGTATTTTTTTCTTTTTGAGAAACCTTCTTCTTAATCTTCTTTCTCTGCTGACACATATATTACACTTTCCTGCATCAGGTATAGAGACTTAAAAAATCATTTGGATTTATTTAGAAATAAAGTGAAATAATAAAAGGGTTTGTGATTAATTTCCAAACACGAATATACTTCAAAATATTTTTAGAGGGGAAAAAAACTCGTTAGAAAACCTCTGTTGAATTATCAAATTGCTGGGTTATTGTAATTATTCTTCAAGACAGAAATCGCAAATTTAATTACTTCTTAGAAAAAGAGTGGAAAAGATATTATGTAAGACGTACGATGTGATTACTGAAATTATGGTACTTAGATAAAAGAACATTCTTCAAACTGCTGCCTCATAGATACAAGCACTTTAATTAGTTTTATCACGAATTAATAAACTTGGCAGACATTTTCTTCTTGACAATGATCAACCAAGAATCTTATTAGCCAGCTTTGAAGATTTTTGTTTCTTTGAAAGGTAAATAAATCTTTGAGGAGTAATAAAGATGGATATTTTTGGTAATTCAGGGAGAATTGAGTATGTGAACTTATTAATACTCTTAAATTGGAATACGAGTTATTATATTTATGCATGCAACTGAGGAAAAAAGACAGTAAAATTGATGTGTGGTAAGCACTGTAAGTGGTAAATTACTTATAATAAATAATTATATAAACATAAAAAACAATAAAATAAACATAATAAACCATAAAATAAACATAATAAACAATAAAATAAACATAATAAGCAATAAAATAAACATAGTAAACCATAAAATAAGCGTAATAGACTTATTAACATAGTAAGTATATAATTTTGCAATATAAAAATAGTTCTATTTTATACATAATGTTTTTAGTTTAATCCAAAATGAAGATTAGCACTTATCAAAAAAAATAATAATAATACTAGTTAAAATGCGTTGCAGTAGGTTTGAGAACATGTATTCTTTATCAAAAAAATTATCAGGAGCATAAAATTAGAAAAAAAAAAAAAACAAACACTAAAAAAAGTTGCAAAAATGTGTTAAAATATAATGTCCAAAAACATTTTTGTTTCAAACATACATTTATGCAAAATATTTTATTTCAAACATATGCTTAGAAACAAGTATTTTTTGAAGTGTATACCTGCTAATACTTTTTTTTAAAAAAACTGAACACATTAAAACAAAAAACGTTTACAAAATTGGAATTTTCATGCTTACAGTAAAGCAAACGGAAAAATTAATGTACGTAAATATTTTAGAAATATTTCCTTATAAAAATTATAATGAACTTGATTAAAAAATAAACCTACCTTAGTTCATGCATAAATTTACAAAAAAAACTTTAAAAATATTTTAGCTGCAAGCTTTATTGTTTTTTGATAGATAAGTCTTATTTTATGCCCTTGAATAAGTCACTGAAACAACATTATTAAACATCATTATTTAAACCAAAATAGTGCTGCTTTAAAAACGTTGACTATTAATTTTATTTTATTTGATTAGGTCATTTAGGTCATTACTCGCCGAATCTTTATGACGCCAAAGACGATAAAGGGTCTCAAATAGAAGACCGATTTGCAACGTTTTTGAGTGACATAGTTGGTAAATTCTTTCTTTAATGGGAGAGTGGAACTTGCGGATTTTTTGAAGGTTCAAGGGATTTTTAGTAAATGGTATTTCAAGCCATGCGATGCTATGGTATTCTGAATCCTTATGATGTGCCCTACTTTACAGATAAATATTTAATCGCTTTATTGAATTTCTTAGCATCTATATTTGGAATGAGGAATATATAAAGTTTCTACGTACTTTCGTGAGGCAAACTGGAAGAGCTAAAGTTATAGCTAAACCCCATACGATGCAGAGACCTCTGCGGCATGTGCTGACTGTACAAAACCTTCTTGCCATTATTGGATAGGCTATAACTAAAAACCTAGAGAAATTGGGGAAAAATATATAGTCAGATTTCAAATTATTATACATTTAAGTTATACAAATATGGGTTTCTCAAAATTACTCAGTATTTATATTTCGAGTTTCCTACATTTAAACAAAAGACTTTAAAAATATTTTTACAGTGGATACTGTTTGCAACAATATAAAAATAGAGGCGATTTTTTCTTTATGTAATACTTGTTTTCAATTTTTAATTCGAAATTTTGAACTATCTAGGGGTGAGTGGGGTAAAATCACGTAGTGGGGTTAGACCAGTCAACTCGATTGTGTCGCAATTAATTCTGTTTTCTAGCGGATAAACTCCTAATTTTCCCTTACTAGTTTAGAAGATGGACATACCGATTTGGCTTGTTATTGTTTAATAATTCACGGTGTCTGGAGATAAGTTTATTATGACAGCTCTCTAAATTTTTTTTCACATTGGATCGAGAAAGTGGAAATAGACGCATTGCATTCAATATTTCTTTAAAAAAAAAAAACTTCCAATGATACCTACCTGGATCTTAAACTTTGAAATCTTAAACATGAAGCCCTATATTTTATTGCAAATTCAGATTCTCCAGAAAAGACCAATATTATATGACCCGTAGGTTCAAGTACTTTGCCTGAAAGATGTACCCGAAAAAATTTAAATAGGGCGCACACTGTTTAAAATGACGGATCTCCAGACCCCCCAGATTAAAAATACAAACATAGACAAAATTTCATTTTTTTACCGATTTCTATTTTTAATTTTCAAAAAAAAAATCTGAATTTCTCTTTATTTATTAAAATAAAATCCGAATTCATTTTATATAATAAAACAGCAATTTAATTTGTAGGATCTAATGATGAGCAAAATAAAAGGTAAATACTGAAAAAAAAAATCACACAATAAATTATTTATCCAAATAATGTACACCCTTGTGCAAATTAATTGAAACAAACTTTTTTTTCGTGTTTTTTAAAGAAGATGTTTTGGGGTTGTTTCGGTTACAATGGGGTTGGACCTTTGCAGCCTATTGACGGTATGATGCGTTCTGAGCAGTACATTACTATTCTGGGTAAAAAAGTTGTTCCAGAGTTGAAGAAACGATACCCTGATGGAACAGGGATTTTTCAACAGGATTTAGCTCCTTGCCATACGTCCAAAATTGTCAAGAAATTCATGTCTGAGAATCAAATTGAGACATTGGAATGGCCAGGGAACTCTCCGGATATCAACGCAATTGAGAATCTCTGGGCCATATGCAAGAATCGCCTATTAAATATGGACTGTAC